GGCTTGCTCTAATTCGAGGATGATACCACCCTCGGGTACCAAGAGCCTGTTGGAGGCCTCAGCCCCGTTGGTTTCGCCGGGGGCTACGTGGTTCTCCTCAAGGGTTTTGGATTGGGCACGAGTTGTTCTTCCCATTTTTGGTAGGTGTTTTGAGTTTGGTAGAGGGGGAGGGTTTCTTACTTGATTGTTCTGACCTCTCAACGAGAGCACCAAATGATGGACAATCTACCCGGGGGGTATCTTATCCGAGGGGTTATTGCGGGAATAACTAGAGAGAAGTAAGAGCAAAATAGGAGGAGAGAGAGTTGATTTATTAAATGAACTCGGCCTGTCTTACAAGGAGAATAAGGGCTGCTATTTATAGCAGCAATAAATGCGATTAGAGTACACGTGTCAGTAATCCGACGGCCGAGGGGTCACATCAGCCGGGTGGCACCGGCAGTGGTACGTTCACCGCATTGAATGCGGCTGGCGGATGTGACGTGACATTAAATGCGGTGGTTGGCTGTCTCCAAAAGGAATCTTCGATGATTGAGCATGTTCGGCCGAAGGCTCTTGTGTAGCCGAGGGCTCCATGTGGCCAAGGACCCCTGTGCAGCCGAAGACCTTGTGTGACCGAAGACTTGGTTCAGCCGAAGGCTTCTCTGATATCGAGGGCTTGATAATGCCGAAGGATCATGTTTTTCGCCGTTTTCTCCCAGTAGCTTCTTATGCCAGAGAAGGCTATCCTGTGAGTTTTGGGGCCTTCGGACAAGGAGGCCGAAGGCACCCCAGTGTGTATTCTGGGCTACTTTGAGGCTTGGGCCGTTGTATTTGGGCCCGAGTTGTTTTCTGGGCTCAATGGACTTGCGTAGGAGAAGTAGGAGTCTATGGGCCGGGGGTTCCTGGGCCATATACTCCATCAGACAGAGTTGTGTCTGAATCTATTTTTAATCAAGTGCGAAGAGAGGAATAAAATTAAAGAGGCTTTAACGGAATTAATCCGATCTCCGACCTAGTTAATTTCCCAAAAGTTGTTTATTAATTTTACTGGAAACCCGAAACCCTTTATATAGATATGGGAGCGGATCAGGTAAGAAGTGTTCTTAGGCTGAAAACTGCGAAGTAATTTAAAAAATTGTAAAAGTTAAACATTTGGCTTTATAAGTTATGTTTAATGCATTAATAGTTTATTAGGACATATATGTCATGGTAAATAAAAAAATAACTTTTTGATAAATAGTTTTTTTGTAAATATTTTTCAACTACTACTATTGTTTTTCATTGTAATCTCACACTTCCTCAATTTATCACTATAAAATTATACTTTTGATTTAGAGTTGGGTTTATAAGTTATGATTTCTGTTTTATAAGTTACCTTATTGTCTGTATTAGTTAAACTTCGCAATTTTTAGCCTAAGACCCACTTCTCACGTGATCTTTTCCCATATAGATATCAAGGGTTGCCTAACAAAGGGAAATTGAATTGCTTTCTAATATACCTATAATAAAGGAACACTATTTAAAGTAGGACTAATTAATATTGGGAAAATTTGAAAACAATAATCCCAACTATTGTCGGTCCGCCGATAATAATCCCAACCATCCATGATTAATCGATAGTTGGGATTATTAACGGCAGACCGGCAATAGTTGGATTATTATTTTCAATTTTTCCTTAATATTATTTGATACTAATACTAATAGGACTCTAACTGTTTGCTAATTAATATTAATACTAATACTAGTACTAATAGGACTCTAAGGGCACATTTACTTCACAAGTTACTAAACGGTGCTTATTAAGACCCGCGTTAATAAACGGCACATAAAATAAGCAATGTTGTAAGATCGTGTTTACTTCAAAGGCTTTAAAACACCGTTTAACATTAAAATGTCCAAAATAACCCTATACATATATATACACATAAAAATTCATGAACACAAGTATATAATATAATATGTGTGGTCACCTCGTACGTGTACTCATACCAATAAACCCTACCCCCACCCTACCCCAGTGGGTAGGGTGGTGTCGGGTCAGGGTGAGGTAGGGTAGGATGGCGGAAGAGTGGGGTCGGGATCGAGGTGGGGCTGAGGTAGGGCGTGCGTAGGGGTGGGGGGGTGGGGGTGGGGTCGGGGTAAGTAGGGTAGGGTTGGGTCAGGATTAGGGTGCAGCGGCCGAGGTAGGGGGCATGTGATAGGGGTAAGGTAGGGGTGGGGTAGGTAGGGAGGGGTCGGGATCAAGGTGGGGCCGAGGTAGGGGTAGGTAGGACGTGGGGTCGAGATCAGGGTGGGGCCGAGGTAGGGGGTAGGTAGGGGGTTGGGTAGGGTGGTAGGGGTGGTGGAGGTGGGGTAGGGTGTTGTCGGGGTGAGGTAGGTAGGGTAGGAGTCGGTGGGGTCGAGATCAGGGTGGGGCCGAGGTAGGGGTAGGGTGGGGCCGAGGTAGGGGCAGGGTGGGGCCGAGGTAGGGGTAGGGTGGGGTCGGGGTAAGTAGAGTAGGGTAGGATGGCGGTAGAGTGGGGTCGGGATCAGGGTGGGGCTGAGGTAGGGGCTTGTGGTAGGGGGTGGGGTCAGGGTGAGGTAGGGTAGAGGTAGGGGTGGTAGGATGTGGGGTTGGGATCAGGGTGGGGCCGAGGTAGGGGTAGGGTGGGTCGGGTAAGGTCGAGGTGGTAGGAGTGGCGGGTAGCAATGGATAGGGGTGGGGCCAAGGTGGGGGTGGGGTAGTGTTGTAGGGAAAAGGGGTTGGGGTGGGGTGGTGTAATGGTCGAGGGTAGGGGTAGGGTGGGGTCAGGGTAGTAGGGTAGGTTCGGGGTGGGGTAGCAAGTAGAATGGGAATATGGGATAGGGTAAGGGCAATGGGTAAATTCGGAAACTGAAAAAGCTTCAAGTGCCGATTAATTAATACATAGGGGAGTGGTATGCTTAGTAAGCGGCACTTTAAGCACCTCTTTCGGTTAGTAAGCGGTTTTTTAAGCAGCGTGCGTGTTTACTTCAATTTGATCAATAATTGCATTTGTTCCAAACTGGCCTCTACGTGTCACCGGAGAACTGGTTGGTAAGAGTAGTCCTTTGAAATGATCAATTTCAACCATACTTCGGCGCCAACTGACACTAGCCATATAGCCTAGACATCTAGACACCCGCCTAGGTGACAACTAGGCAACAAGTTGTGCCATAAGTAATATTTAAATATAAATATAATAAAACAATACTACATATGTTACAGATTATTTTTAAAAAACATATATGAAACAATAGATTATGTTTCTAAAAAAATATATCCAATAAAAATCTTCACAAAGAAAATAACAAAAATATGTAGCAGATAAGATGCAATAGTATAGCATACGTTTGGTAACAAAGATTGAATTTGGTTAATGGACTCCAGGCCTCCAGCTGGACATGAAATACGGAGTAAATGATAAGAGTAGGAGGAGTTTACTGTACATAAACAGTGTACATAAAATAGAAAAATGCGTAAATGCGTAATACATTAAAAAAAGATATGGAATCCGGCTCATAGATACAGGGATAGCCAACATACCCGTGTTTTCCGTTCCGGATCGCACGTACCCAGTGGCGGGGCCGGGACTTGAGGAATTTATATAGCAAGGGCCAAAACTTAAATTTTCACTATACTTTTCACTACTTATAAATATTTATATATGTATATATATACATCACAATTTTTTTCTTGCAGGGGCCGAGGCCACTACCAGCCTCCCCCGCGTACCAGATCGTGGTACAGTTGTGCGCCGGTCACTTCTAGTTCACGACTCTGGCACGGCGGATTCCGGTAGCAGTTCGCGGCTACCTTCCAGGTGGTGTGCCGTTCCCGCGTTGTGGTTCGCATGTTTCCTCCAGCAGCCAATGAAGCAACAGTCAAAGAGTCGCGATTTGTGAATTACTTTTTCCAAGCAACACATGGTCGGGGACGAACTCTTTACTCTGCGTAGTTTGAACTTCAAAAATCTAAACGAACTCAAAGTCTGAACTCAAATGGTACAGCGTTCCGTGTACCGAAATAGCGTACTAAAGAAGCCTACCCCCCGTATCGGATTTCTAATATTCACGATGCGCATTCCCGTTTTCATAACGCGTACTGTAGTGTACCGCGGCTCATGTAACTATGGTCCAGCTGTCTGTCTAACCAAACAAAATCCAAAAATAAGGAACAGCCAACGACCTTAAAAAAGGGGACGCCTAACGAGCGAAGTAAACGGAGGCGGAGGTGGAGCAGCTGCGCTATACAGTGACCTGAGGCGGTGGCGTACGTGACGACTTCAGTCAGTGACTCTAGTAACAGGATGAACTGTTGATGGGTCTAGGGTTCTGGCCGACGGCTTAATCTTAAAACTCAATATCTTCTCTAACCTAATATTCGGGGTCAAAGCGGCAAAAAGAGGCATTGGGTGTCGCCATCAACGACTTGATGATGCCCCTAGTTGACGCCGAGTTACGCCTTGGCAGCTTCAGGCGAGTCGAGTCACCATGGCGCCACTTCTCTGCCACCAGGACAACTAGTCGGCGCCTAGGTGACGCCGTGACAACAATGATTTCAACACTTCTACACCTCTTCAGAAATAGAAAAAGGCTCCTAACTCCACCCTCTGGTTCTGACAAGTTCAAAGAGGCTGCTCATCAATCTTCATGGATTCAGATACTACTGAAAGCAATTCCTTAAAAGAAAATGATCATAGTGAATTTTTCTTTCAAATATTTTTTTCTTCTCCTTCACGTTTCCTATTTGATAAATCTAAAAACGAGCATGCTAGTATCTTAAAGAGCCAAACTGAGCATGATGCTACTATCTTAAAGAGCTAAACTTCAGACTTGCATGATCGCAAACTTCAACCACTTCTACATTGTTTTCCAGCATAGGTTATGACTGTTTAGGCTCACAAATAATTCTCTTTTCTTTTAACTTTGGTCAAGTCTCCACAAAAGTTTTTAACAATGAGCACTAATGGATTCATTCATAAAAACTATTGAACCTCTCCAATAAGCTGAACCCTGACCTGTCCAATCTGTCTGTCCCAGCTAAAAGCAAGAGCTTAGGTACAGGACTTGACAAAAAAACATCAGAGAGACCTTCATACCTGAAATGCAAGCATAACCGCATCGAATTTCAAGCTAAATTTCATCAACATACAAACTCAGCAAGTAATGAAACTAAATAATCATTTTAAAACCCAAGAGTCTAAACTGCAGATCATTAATACCCAACACTAAATGTTGCGACATGTGAAAGATATTAGAATATACTTTAGAATATGCTTTAGAATATATTAGAAATATACTCTAGATATTAATATTGTATAGCATCTCAACCCTTCAATGAAATACATAGAAAAGCTTTCTTCTCCTCTTCAATATTATTCTAGTTTATATTTCAACACAACACAACCATAGAAACCCATGAGAACAAGTGAACAACAATAGAAGGCTTATTCTTAAGAAGCTCTTGCATCTAAAAAATCTCAATTAATCAAATCATGGTCAACAAAGTAATGGCCAATGGCAGTCTGAGGGTACATAAAGTTAACATTATTCATGCCAGAAGACCAAGTATTTAAATGTTCACATAAACATCTCCATTGACTTTGAGGTAAAAAAAGTTAAACTAGCTTCAGTACACATTTGCAAGTAATGTAGCAAGAAATATAATCAAAACATAGCCGCATTATCGGTACAGAAGATCACACTTGTGTTTGAAACCCTACAATGTTTGTATGAATCAAAGAAGCGCTAACAATGAATGTGAAGAAGAAAAGTAAAAAATTACCTCAGCAATTTAGGTATGTCGTATCACAGAAGACCTTATTCATATGAAATATGAGATTAGGAAAAGAAACTCGTACCAGCCTCTCCAGTATTGTTCAGTTTCTTCTAGTCTTGCTCGATATGTGTAACTGCAGCAAGATATTTATGATAACATATTAAGCAGGATTGACATTAATGCATTAACGCTAAACAACTAGTAAAGAAACATTCCATAGTTACAAAATTTTAATGTTGGGTAGTGATAGAAACCTCCAAGAAATCCAGAACAATCTCAGAAAATGAATAAGAAACAACTGAATTCTTTATTGATGAAGAAGATCGGTTAAAGAGGAGAAACAGTAACAAAGGCCGAAGCCTCCCAAAGCCGAAGCCCCAAAAGATAGAGATGTTCAGTCTCGTATCTTCCCAAGTCCCAAAATGAAGTCCAAAACAGCTTCCTTCTTATTTCTTCCTCCCTCTATTTATACTTACTTATGGGCCAGCCCAATACTAACTAGTACCTAGCCCAGGACCCTTTAACATCCTATCACAAATATTAGTTATACTTCTATTATTATACTAATGGGTTCCTATCATATCTCCCCCCCTTGAAAAACCACTTTGTCCTCAAGGTGGGTGATAGGACACAGCTTTGATCTTGAACTTCCTCTTCATCCTGGAGCCTCTTCCTTCCCAATATCTCCCAGATTGCTGAACCAGAAGCTTCAGTACTTGTTCCTTCAAAATCACAAATGGTGCTGCTGCAGAAGCTAGGTCGAGTACAGTTTCGATGAATGCAGTAGACTTCAAGCACTCATTAGCTACAATTGTTTCCCTGTTTTCATGAGACTCCCCAAGGATTGTAACTTCTGAGACTATCAATGTGCTGGATGTAGATTTAGTGTTACTCAAGTTGCTCAACTCCTTGTCTGCAACAAGCTCTATGCAAAGATCTTCATTTTTCATCCATTTTTCTCTACGGCAGCTAGTATCAATGACAGAGTGATTTGTAATAGCAGGATTAATCTCATAAAACTTATACAACCGACAGCAGTTGTGCACCACGGTGCTCTCATGCAGTTTCAGATTATCTAACCGCTAAAGTCCCAAGTCTAGGAAGTTTTATTCTTTCTTTTCCCTTAGAAGAGAGCCAAAAACTCTTGCAGCCACAGAACGAACTTCTGAGACCACAACAAACTCCTCTATGTTATGACCCTGTCCAACATTGCTGCCAAGAGTAAACCATTTCAAGCTTTGTTTCAATTTCACCTGTCCCTTTGCTTCAATATATTGTTCTGCATAACTTCCTGTTGTTTTCTCAGTGATATAACCTGCAATTCTGAGCTCTCCAGCCACAAAGTCCGCCCCTAAGTTGACAGGTGAGTCACAACTAATAGGACCTTTCCCATTCATATGCACATTAGCAGATAACACAACTGGAGAATAGACTTGATGATCCTTTGGGTTATAAGGAGCAAATAATCCCTCTTCCACCTGGGGTTTCATAATGGCTTTAAGCATAACAGAAGAATGCATCCTAACAGTCAATTTTTGATTGTATACTGCTGTTTCAGCCCCATTATCATTGGATTTTTTTAAGGACAGACCATGAGTGCGCAAGGTCTCCAGTATCACGTGGACATGATAAACGTGTTCTACCCATGACTTACTATAAATGAGTATGTCATCAAAGAAAACGAGGACAAATTTGCGAAGGTATGGTGCAAAGATGTCGTTCATTAAGTTTTGAAACGTTGATGGTGCATTGGTGAGTCCAAATGGCATGACTAAGAATTCAAAGTGGCCGTGATGAGTTCGGAAAGCTGTCTTTTCAATATCCTCTTCTGCCATGCGAATCTGATGGTAGCCCGAGCGCAAGTCAAGTTTTGTAAAGAATTTGGATCCATGGAGTTCGTCCAGTAACTCGTCGATGACCGGAATCGGAAACTTGTCTTTAATGGTTTTGGAATTGAGTTCCCTGTAGTCGACACAAAATCGCCATGTACCCTCAGCTTTCATAACCAGAAGGACGGGTGATGAGAAAGGAGAGTGGCTGGGGCGGATGATACCCTGCTGAAGCATCTCCGTACACTGCCTCTCAATCTCGTCCTTTTGGAAATAGGGGTAACGGTAAGGACGAACAACCACTGGACCAGTTCCTGGAAGCAAAGTGATCTTGTGATCACAAGCACGTGGAGGTGGCAGTCCAGCAGGCAACCTGAAGAGGTCCTCAAATTGGGCCAGGAGACTCTCCATGCTAGGGGATGTGGTTGTGATCATGTGGGCCTGAAGTGTTGGGACTCGAGTATGACCGTGCCATTCCACTGGAGTGCCCTGCCAGATGAAGCGCATGAAAAGACGTGAAAAATCCCATTCAATCGAGCCGAGACGTTGAAGCCAATGAACGCCCAATATCATGTCAAACCCGGCCAATGGAAGCACATAAAAGTCTGCAATAAATGTGCGTCCTCCCACCACGAAGTTAAGTTGAGGACATGTGCCCAGGATAGGTACTCTGTCTCCATTAGCCACTTGAACATGGAGACGGGATCCTGGATGAATTGAATGGGTATTTTCTGGAACCAGCCTTTGATGTACAAAATTATGAGTACTACCCGAGTCTACCAGAACTGTAATGGGTATATCGTGAAGAGTTGCTGCCAATTGCATAGTGGAAGTGGAACCGAGGCCAGTCATCGCATGAAGGGAGAGAGTTGGCTCAAACTGATTTTCTGACTGGTCTTCATCCATAATTTCAATAAAGAATAGCCTTTTGCATTGATGGCCACGGACCCAAGGATCGTCACAGTTATAACAAAGGCCTTTTTCCCTGCGGATAGCAGCCTCTGCACGAGATATCTTTTTGAAGTTGGGATTTGTTTGGCGTCGGTTCAGGTTGGATTCTGCAGTGGCAGGTACTGATGCTGAACGTAGGTTGGATTGGGGGCGCACTAGAAGTTCAGGCGAATAGTTTGGCAGGTGATATTTGCGTTCGACAGTGCAGGCCAGCATCATAGCCGAGTCAAGGTCTAATGGATCCTGGTACTCAACCTCCATTCGGACAACCTCGCGGAGCTCGGCTGTAAATATCTTAACCTGCATACGGGCAGAGATCCCCACCGTGCGAGCTAATATTTGTTGAAAAGTTTCAATATACAACTCAAGGTCACTCGTCTGGCGTAGTTTGGCAAGTTCTCCTTCGGGATTGGCACTACTAGGCGGGCCAAAACGTTTCGTACATCTAGTGTAGAACTCTGTCCAAGAGACTGGTGAAGTGCTCGTATCCAACTGATTAGCCCAAAGTTGCGCTGTGCCGATCATATGGAATGTCGCCAGGCCAACCCGAGCTTGAGCTGGGGTACGTTGCTGAACAAAGAAGCTTTCACAGCGTTTTAGCCATGACAGAGGGTCACTCTTCCCATCGTACTGCGGGAATTCCATCTTGGAGAATCTGGGATCCAAGGAGTCTTCATGATCACGGCGAAAAGAGTCGGCTTCTCTTCTGCGTGCAAACTGGGGAGAACCAGATGACGGTTCCCCTGTTAACCTCTGCACAGTGGTGGACAAGGCTTCCATGGCCGCCGGAAGAGCGAGCAGTTTATCCATAGATGCCTGCAGATCTGCCAGTTGTTGTTCAACAGCCAGTTGTCGTTGGTCGACACTCTCGATCATGGTTTTCAGGGAATCGGCAGCAGTAGATTCGGTCCCCATCGTCCCAGAAGCTGATACCAAGTTGTTAAGTGCGTGAGACAGAGACCTTGTCCAAGGGCGTGAACGGGATTGACCACAAGTAAACGATGATGTTCCTGGAGCTATTTTAATTGACGAGTAATAGATGAACTAAATTAGAGGCTTAATAGATAATTATCGATCCCCGACCTAGTCAAGAGATTTCAAGATTAATTAACCAAAAAGCTGTTTATTAAAGTAGCTGGGATCCCCTTAAATAGATAAAGGGTTTCCTAAAACAAAATAGGAAACTAAGTTGCTATTCTAATACAACTAAGATAAAGGGTTTCCTAAAACAAAATAGGAAACTAAGTTCCTAAAACAAAATAGGAAACTAAGATAAAGGAATACTAATTAAAGTAGGACTAATACTAATATTAATATGACTCTAATTGCTTTCTTATTTCTTTTCTCTTCTTTTTCTCTTAGCCACGTTGGTCATTAATCTTCTCTGCCCCACACTGCTTCCTTCGTTCATATGTACGGCCATAGAATTGGTCCGTAACATATTATTATACTAATGGGTTCCTATCAGGTAGGGAGTAGAGAAGTGGGGAGGAGTTATAATATCAAGGGAAGGTTGTTAGAGCTTGGAAGAGGAGTGTGCTAAGAGAAAGGCGGGAGATGGAAAAACAATGTCAGAACTAAAGCAATTAATATGCACACCATTTCTTTGAATCATCATATATCAATGTGCTAGGCACTGATATGCGAGCAGAGTCGATATTTCTTAGGGTGCCACCTTTCACACTCCATTCAATCTACAAATATACATATATATTTCCAATCAGTATCATCATCTATAATGTTGTCAAGACTCAAGAGCAGAGATGATGGCATGCTAAAATAAAGTGCACCATTTCGTTTCATAAAGTAGATTGCAATAGTGTATTAGAATAACGAAGCCATTATACCTTCATTAAAATCTCTCCACATTATTGATTTCAAACAAATAAGATTTCATGATAACTTACCGCTTTTTCAAGGGTTGAGAAATGCTGCATTCTGTTTGATAAGATCTTCTGCATATGAATCAACGAGGCCATTGCTGTCCCCTGCAATTTTAAGAAACTAAACATTTTTGGGGAGCCATATAACTAATTAACTATAAACATAATGCAGGACAAAAAAAAATTTAGACCTCAACAACATCCACAACAATTAGCCCAGCCAAAGTAGATAGAGCTTTTTTTGCAGCAACATGAACAGCAATGGCACCTCCCATACTGGTGTGTGTTTATAAAAGAATATCAGTACGACAGTAGCTATATACTTTATTATTTATGAGCTCAGTGCAACCTGTGGCCAACCAGCACAATTGCAGGTGGAGAATCTCCATACATCATCTTACAAACAGCCACCACGTCACTACATAATGTCTGCAACCATTGTAAACAACTTGACCACAGACCGGGAACAATAAAAATGAAAGAAAGATAAGAAAATTGTAATGATTAAAACCTCAATAGATAAATCAACTTCATTCTCTGTGGATGACTTCCCGTGTCCCCTCAAGTCCATGGCTACTACCTTACATTTCTCCTTAATCTTTCTTGCAGCTAATGAAAACGATAGTCTGGAAAAGGACATATATTTCACAGAAGGGTAGAACTCTCATGTATATTAGGTACTGCTTGTGTAAAGGGAAAACTATATCACTTGCATGCAGCCATGCAGGAAAAACTTATATACAGATGATGTTTAACAGTATGATCAGTAAAGCTGTTCAATTCCATAATCCATACGAGTATAAAAATGAAAGCTAACAAACTAAAGAGGTGCCAAACTACTGAAATATGAAATAGAAATATATTTTAGGATGACTTGTTTACAGTTTCCCAAAAAAAGACAATCTTCAACATACCCAGAATAGCCGCCGCCATGTAAGCAGAAAACAACTGGCCCTTCAGTCCCTGCCAAGTACACATGAAAGACCTGAATCACCAAAGAAAAATAAAAGATTTTTTAATTTGGTAGCAGAACTGTAGAAGAGACAAGCTTGTTAGGAACCAACAAAAAATACATTACTGAGAAATATGCAAAGTGAAAATTATTCCAAATGAACAAAGTACACTAACATCATTGGAGTCTGAGATTTGTATGTCCTCTTCCCTGTCAAAGTAGTCAGACCAATCTAAAAGTTCAAATTTTTGTGAGGAAGACCTGCACATATAAATAAAGACATGAGGTAAATTTTCATTCAAACTGATACTTCATTACTATCAAACGAGCATTAAGTCAACAATAAAACCTTTCTAAATATAATGACAATTCCATATCAAATGAAGAAACCTAACTTGTAAACAAAAATCAAGTATTAGGGAGGAGAGGAAGGGGACAACCTAGACATACATTGATTAGAGTGGTCAAGAATGATATGATACTACTTAGGTTAGATTGAAAGTATGAAGTTGGAGGGTGAAGTTGAGGGAGAGCCTGCATGAGAAGGATTGACCATATATTGTTGGTCTCCCTCTTTCTCCATTGAAGTATCAGCCTTATATACCTCTTCCAGACAAATGAAAACAAGGGGGGGTCATGGTGTGATCACCGTAAGAAACCAGGTCATACCAAAGAAACATGCTGGAATTTGCACGGTAAACCTAAAGATTTCAAACCAAGCAAAGGGAAAGGAGCCTATGTAGCTACTGGAGATAAAGACAACATGGGCACTTCTAGCCTTACTGCTCAGACATGTAATGCCTTAACAACCCTGGTTGCACACAGTCATCCCTATTGGATTGTTGATTCAGGGGCAACAAATCATATGACTGGAGACAGTAAGTTTTTTGCTGAATTCATCCCTATGAAGAATAAGGTAACTGTGAAGATTGTTGATGGAACACTTCAGCAATAAAAGGGACTGGAAGAGTCAAAATTTCTGACAATATAGTGCTTAACAATGTGTTCTATGTTCCATATTTAAAGTTTAACCTCTTATCAGTCAGTAAACTGAACAATGATACACATTGAACTAAATTCTCTTCTCAATTGGGTGAATTTTAGGATTTGGATTCGGGGAGGATGATTGGCAGTGCTAAGCAAAGTGGTGGACTCTATCTTCTCGAACATTCACCACATTCACCAAACTCTACCAACAAGACAACTTCCAGTGAGTGTCAATTCAACCATAAGTTTTTAGGGAGTCTTAGTAGGAGTCAATTTGATACTCAAATTCAGCTATGGCATTATCGTCTTGGTCATCCTAATGTCTTGTACTTGGAAAAAATATTTCCTTCATTATTCATAAATAAAAGTTCTGCCTTTGATTGTGAATTTTGTCAACTTGCTAAACATACTAGAAGTCACTATCCCAGTCTACCTTACAAACCATCTAAACCTATTTCTCATCCACAGTGATGTTCGGGGCCCATCCAAGGTCAAAAATCTCACTGGTTCAAGGTGGTTTGTTCTTTTTATTGATGATCATACACCCTTAACCTGGGTCTTCCTCATGAAAGAGAAGTCAGAAGTCAATATTATCTTTCAAAGATTCTATTCTATGATCAAAACCCAGTTTCAAACAAAGATTCAAGTTTTAAAACTGATAATGCCAAAGAATATTTCTCATCCAACTTAGGAGAGTTTCTGTCCAAAAAGGGAATTATAGACATTAGTTCCTATGTTGACACCCCACAACAGAATGGGATAGCAGAAAGGAAGAATAGACACTTACTGGAAGTTTTTAGAGCCCTTATGTTCACCAGTCACACTCTTAAACACTACTTTTAAACACTACTGGGGAGAGGCTGTCCTAACTGCAGCTTACCTGATAAATAGGATGTCCTCCAAAATTCACAAATTTAAAACCTCATACCAAATCATATCGTATCAGAGAGAAATGTGAACCACCTATAGTCCTATACAAGACAATGACACACAGAGGGAGAGAGCAAGTCTAAAAATATATCGAACCTCAAAAGTATGCAACACCCAAATATGATCAACAACTATTGAGATTAACCATGAAATGCCCACCAATCACCACAACCACCTTAGATAACATCATGGTTGACAATGCGCCACCCAGCCGCCATATTGCCAAGGCGAGTAGGCACATGCCTAGGTGAGAATTAGGCGACATGCCACTCCATATATAATATTTAAATATGATGGAATAATGTATTATAAATTTAATTACATACTCCCTCCGTCCCGAAAAAGTTGGTCAAAGTTGACTTTCACGTGGATTAATAAAGTAAAAATTGTGGGGTTAAAATTTGTGCAGAAGAGAGAGAATTAACTTTAGCCACATATTCCTTACTTTAATGTAAATGACAAATCTTTTTAGGACATCCAAAAAAGGAAATTTGGCCAACCTTTTCGGGACGGAGGGAGTATAACTTATAATTCAAACTAGAGTTAAGTACAACAACACCCCAATGCCGCAAAGGCTCCCACATACGGTGGGGTAAGGGGGGTCGAATGTACGCAGTGTCGCAGTCTTACCTTTGTACTAAAGCACGTAAAGTGGGGTAAGGGGGTCGGATGTACGCCTTACCCTTGTACTAAAGCACAAAGAGACTGTTTTCGGATGACCATGATGAAAAGCGCATCGAAAATTGCATGAATTGATCGTTGTTTCATAACAAAGAATAGTGAGTCTTTGGCTCCATTGGAAATGGTGAAATCAAACTCGAGTTAAGCAATTCAAAAAAAAAAGAGTTTAATATCCATCTAAAGTAAGTATAATGGACATTTGAATTACAAAGTTTAAGTATCTTCAAGAACTAAATCTGACAAGTTAAAATTTTATGTGATATAAACTATTTAATATAAATCAAGTAATAAAAGAATTCATCTCCTTAAAAATATGAACTGTTAAAATAGAATATACTGCGCAGTACACAACAATAGATGGACTCAAGTCAACTGACCAACAAACAAAAAAAAATGAGAAAAAAGTTGCTTAGTGATAAGAAGACAGAACCATCGGACACAGTGGCTAACTAAAAGCCGTAAAAGAGTACCGAGACCAGACTTCGATCTAAAGACACAGAAAAAAAGGCAGAGCAAGGAATCTGCAGCGACAAGCATCGGCGACCAGTGTCACCAACCTGCGTCGGCGACTTCAGGCGAGTCGACCTAGCATGGCGTGGCAGCCCCATCGCCAGGACGCCTAGGTGATGCCATGACAACCATGTTTACATCATAAACTCATGCAAAAAAAATGAATTTCATCACAACATGCTTATAAACAAAAAATGAGGTAAAATTATAAAACCGTCACAATGATAGCGCTTCATTGCTATCTTGGGAATATCCCGAGGCATTAATAAATTAAGATAATTACTAAGGCCATATCAACTTAACTGATTATAACCTTGCATGGGTGTATTTTTCAAATTTCTCTCATTAGAACTTAATCGTGTCCTTCACAAATCACAATGAGAGCCAAGGAATACCAAATTGAGAGTCAATCACGAATTGGACATTTGCTTGAGAAGAAACTGGATATGTGTTTTCTAGTCATCATAGACAAAGCACTTTATAACATGAAAAAATAATACATGAAAACCAATAAACCATTCAAACTCCTAAGAACATAGAATGTGGCTACATGGCCTGCCATAATAGTCTATTTAAAACCGATTCCCAAGAAACTGTTACATGTTTTGACTCTTGAAGCTAGCAGTTAACATTTTTAAGATGAATACGACATCCACCCGAATCATCACGATACTCTGCCTATTTGCAGAGGCACGTAAACAATCAACCACTTAGTTGGCTAATGAAAATAAAATATAAGTTCAAACATGAAACAACTTGCAATTTCATGTAGTGTTGTAGTGGTCTAATAATCTAATCTAGCGAATGGTATGCTTTAAATTTTGAACTCACTTGGACATGTAGAAAAAGTGGTTCCTACACTGATATATTTAAAAAGTGAATCCTAAAACTAAAATGTACATATCTCATAGTCTCTATGAGAGTGAGTCTTAGCCATTAACTTTTAGAGAAGAGGTTTAACCTGACAGATTGTGAAGTTGCCCAAACACTTTCCTACAGATTGCAGATGAGAATGCTAAGGTAACTCTCTGCTCCGTGCACTTTGTTTCTCGCTGTTGACTTGTCTCTTAACGTCACTTATCCCTCAGTTGTTTGTATTTGTATCTTTCTATAACCTCGCCTTCTATAAGAATGTAAGATACTGAGTACTGACACTTGTTCAGTTCTCACTTGTATATACAATATTTTCCCATGTAAATCAACCATACTGATTCCCGTTTTGTTTTCATTTTACCCATGGATTGATTATGGGAACAGTTAAATGTTTTCGAGTGTAACAGATTGAGAAATCCAAAACCACTCCGAGGCTCCAAGCCCAAGATGGCTGGACCAAAGTCAAACAGAAGTCCAAATGTATCCCACGAATATTCTACTTACATGATGAATAACAAGCAATTGACCATATCGTTCACGTTCGGATGGCGATAAGCAAAACCAATCTAACAATTGATGACACTTTGTGTTTCAAAAAAATAAACATCCCTCACGCGCATGCATCCGAAGAGAACTTACTGAGAGGGAGGACGAGCTGGAACGGAAGAGAAAGCGGATGGGACTTTGTCATCTGCGGTAGCATCATGATGTTGGATTCCCTCAGAGGGTTCTTCTAGAAGCGGTGGAAGGTTTGAAGAATCCATTCCGAACTGGGCGAACTGCGAAGGGTGCAGGCGTGGTCCGGTGGTCGTGTGGCGGCACCGCAGCGTGGAGGTGGTCAGGCGGGTAGGAACTCGGAAGACGTGGTCTCGTGAAGGACAGAGGCCGTCGAGCTCTGGACCGGGAGATTGTTTGTGATTGCCGGACTTAGGCATGGACCCGGTTCGGGCCGCCCGGCCCGGGACCGGCCCGGCCCGCCACTGTGCGAGCCCGGAACCGGCCCGGTTCTCGGGTCCGGGTCCGGGTCGGGCCTAGGCCCGGTGGGGTGGCCGGGTCCGGGCTCGGGCCTTGAATTTGGCGAACCGGCCCGGCCGGGTCGGGCCCGGGCCCGGGCCCGAATTGATTTTTTTTTAATTTTTTTTTCTTTTTTTGGGGTTAGCCAAGTTGGGCTTGATGGTTAGGAGGGGTGTGGGGGTTTGGGGGGGTGTGGGGGTGAGTGGGGGGGTTAGGAAAGCAAAAAAAAAAAAAAAAAAAAAAAAATATAACCGAACCGGAGGCCCGGCCCGGACCCGGACCGGACCCGGTGGCTACCCGGGCCGGTCCCGGGCCTTCCTTCCCAAAAAAAAAGCCCGGCCGGGCCCGGCCCGGAACCGGAACCGGCCCGGCCCGGGTCCATGCCTAGCCGGACTGTGGTTTAGGAAGTTGGGATCTTTAAAAAACGGCCAAAACTACGTAGATTCGAACCGTGTACCTCAGCTAGTCAGCTAGCAGGTAACTTCTAATAATTGCAGGTGTATCCCTTTGGATCCAGAGCCTCTACCTTACTTTAGAGTAAGATAGAGTGTCTTGCTTCCTCCCGATCGTCCGATCGACAATTCAACAATCGGAGATCTTGGGCTCCACTTTTTCGTCAATCTCGAGGTCGTGTTGGTCGCTTCCCTCCCGTCCGATGCGCAAGGCACCCTCTTAGTCGGGTAGAGGATCCCAATCCGTGAATCCTATCCCTTTCATTTGGTTGGGCTTCTCCTTTTCATTTTTTTCTTTATTTTAGTAATTATAAAATTCTTCTCAAAATTGACTCAATTTGAATTTTGAAAACATTAAAGGTAATGATAATCTGATTGAAACATCTTCATTACTTTATTTAACTATTTAAATGTTATAATTTTATATCATTACATTTAAAATGAGCATTCACCACTTTTACAATGTGCATTGTGTTAAATTCGGTTGAGCTTTATTGTTAACAAAGAATTATTCTAAATTATTTGTAATAAATATGTTACATGTGTGAGTTACAGAAATAATTTTTATGTTAGACATATATGAGCATAACTTTCAAAGAAATGAGCATTGGTATAACATTATAAAATGAGTAAAAAATGAATTTTATACTATACCCAAATGAGTATAATATTTACATGGAATGTAAGTCGACATAACGTTTTGATGCTCAATGGATTTTGAAATTTTTATACTCAATTGCAGAGTTCCAATGTTCAATAGAGGAGGCTTGATGTTCAATGAAAATGTCTCGATACTCAATGAGCAAAGCTTATGATTTTCATATGAATGCATATTTCAAAATTTTAATATCAAATTAGATTCGTATATTGGAATCCATGTGAGTTGATTATAGATATAATTTAAAAAAAAATTATAAAAGAAAAATAAGAAAAGGAAAGTGAATTAGATGTTATGAAGCAGAAATCACGATGTTCAATATTGGACTCATAATACTCAATAGAATAGGTCTGATGCTCATTAAAAGTTTATTAATGCTAATTTAACGGAAATCGTGATTTTCATCTCAATAGAGGAGGTTTGATGCTCAATGAAAATGTCATTATTTTCAACTAACAAACATTACAATTTTCATATCAATGCACATTTTGTAAGTTACGTATGCTTATTTGGTACTGATGTTTTGCTCACTTTTATAATGTTAAATTAATGTATATTTCAGAAGTACCATATTACATTAGATTCGCATATTGACATCATATGAGTTGATTATAGATTTAATTTAATAAGTTTTTTATAAAATCGAGCAAAAAAAAGTTTTTTTATAAAAGCAAAAATAAGAAAAAGAAAGTGAATTAGAAGTTATGAAGCAGAGATCGTGATGCTCATTATTTGACTCCTAATACTCAATAGAATAGGTATGGCGCTCACTAAAAATACATTAATGCTTATTTAGCAGAACCGCGATTTTCACTTAAATTATGAAAATGTCACCGGTTGTACAATGCCCATTGTACAGTCGGTGGTACGATATAGGCTCCCGAGGACAAGGTGAAGGTAGGCTTACGAGAAATAAGGAAGAAAGGAAAAGGAAAGGGAAATATAAAAAGAAAAATAAAATAATTACCATGTGGTATTGGCGTGGCTGCCACGCGTGTAGTTAATTGGGGAACCAGTTAGTTACCCACTAACTAGCTCAATTGAACGTTTTTTAGGAATTCGAGAGTTTAATTGTGGGTTTTCAAAATAAGAAGGTTTAATCGACTATCTGTACATAGTAAGGGGGCTTATATGACATTTTCCCTATAAAATATATACGACATATGTGTGTATTTTATTGGAAGTTAGTGGGCTCCCAGGACCGTGGGACAAGTCCAGTCCGCCGCTGGCTCTTTGCCTCTTTCTCCCATTGGAAAGTTCAGTTTTTCTTAAAGGAAAAGCTTGAGCTAGGTACAATAAAATTTCACCTAATGATTGAACTCAGGTCGATGGACCTACAAGTCTCCGACCACATACGGTATACACGCCCTATTAGAATTGAAATTTATTGCATGTGCAAAGTTTTTAAATGGATAAGCATGACATGCAGTTGAATCATACATACCAGAAATTTTTTATCCAAATGAATTTTTTCAAAAGTACTTAAAATATTAAACCTCAATATTGAGCAATACATTAATGGGCTACTATTATCAAGTGTTTGTAATTTTGTTGGGAATTTTCTCGAAATGGGAGTAAATATATCTTAGAATTCCAAAATACGACGGATATGTTATTCTTCCCGGAATAAGAGTAACATGATAGTATTTATTGTCATGCATCTTGTAGTCATTAATGCCAAATAGTTGTAGTACTTGCCTACAAGGAATTTAAACATAACAGTATTTATTGTTATTAATGGCAATATTTTCAATTAAAATAGAAACGACTCATATTTTGGGGGGCATAATAGTCCTATTCTGGAATTTCAAAAGTTGTTTACTCATATTTAGGATAGTTTCCCAGGTGTGTTAGAACGGTCCTTAGCCAAGCAAACATGGGGGAAAGGGACAGTCATCTATCGATGTAAGTAGGCATATTTGCTCCATAAACTTGTGCATTTTCAACGCATGTGAATGATGGAACATATTTTCGAGAAGTAAAGATTTTCTCTCTAGATAACCGTTTCAAATGTTTGGATGAACAAACCTTAGGGAGATAAGTCAAACAAACACCATCACAGACAATATAGGTTGAAACTTTAAATCTTTTCTATTCAGATTTGCCATCATTCACATCACAATAAGGTTTAGAATTCTTAGCCTTTTGATTAAGTTTCTCATGTTTGTTAACTTTAGCACTGAAACGAGAAAACACATATCTAGAGTCATCAGAAGAAGACAGGGAAGAATGGTTTGTGGCAAAGCTAAATTACTGACAACTTGAATTTGAACTTTCGTTACAAGTTCTATTCAAAAAATAAGAGGGAGTAGAGGTTGTGTCTATATAGAGGGAAATTTTGAGAAGAGAAATCTCATTTTAAAGTAGGTCTTTTTCTGTTTTGAAAATCTCTCTTTCAGTTTTCAAAGATCTATGAAGGTCAACAATTTTGTGAATGATCTTTGGAATGTAAACATTATCATATTTGGATTTTTCAGAAACAACTTGTTGTTCCCTGCAAACAAAGACTCAGACTCGCTTGCTAGAAGAAAAAGTGATACATAGTCATCAAAGAGATGAATTTCTCTTGTCTTATAACTAGCATTCACTTGAGTGTAGTCAAACGAGATCTCAACCTTTCGAATTATTTTCTCTATTTTCTTTTTCCTCAGCATCAATTTCTATCGCTCCCAATGAAGGACATAAAACTACGACATGGAAAACCGGACGGCTTTTGGTCAAAATCGGTCGGCTTTAAGGAATGTTTTAAGGTATTAAACTACGGCGGAGAAAACCAGTTGGCTTTCATGGAAACCGGCTGGCTCACGGTGAAATTTTTATCGGAGCTGAACCAAAGGCATGAAAGCCGGGCAGGTTTCATATAAACCATCCGGCTTTCTTAACTTTTGGTCACAAAGTGGGCCTTAGCGGCAAAAACCGAGTAGTTTAGGTAGAAAGCCGAACGACTTTTACCTTTACTTTAACTCGGGTACCCTTTTGACCTAAAGAACAATACCATAAGCTAGGGAGGGTGTCTTACATAGGTTGTAAATGTCGGAACGCTAAAGATTAATGGGAGGAATGCAAGTGTCCTAATCGGTACTATGGTGTAACAATCATTCGTGAGTAAGGCATTCGCCAAGGAATTTGATGAACCATCATTACCGATGATTCAAACTATTTTGGTATCCACACCTTTAGGGGATAACGTCTAGAGAGATAGTTATTATCCATCTTGTAAGGTGGCGGTGGAGAGTCAAACTTTGACGTGTGATTTTGTACCGCTGAGTATGATTGAATTCGATGTAATCCTTGGGATGGATTGGCTTGAAAAGCATCATGTTAGAGTCGTAAAAATCGAAGGCATTGAGGGGAGAACCCTACGCTTCAAGGGTGGTTGAGACAAATCGAATAGTTGTATCATATCTTCCGTGAGAGCAAGGAATATGGTGAGGAAAGGATGCCACGCTTACCTAGCATAAGTGGTTGACAAAATCAAGGAAGAGATGGATATCAACAATGTAAGAGTGATGTGTAAGTATCTGGATGTCTTTCCCAAAGACTTGTCAAGACTTCCACCCGATAGAGAGATTGATTTTGTAATTGAGGTTGAGCCCGACACCAAACCAGTCTCTATACCACCATACCGAATGACAACAGATGAGCTTAATGAGTTGAAAAGACAATTGCAAGAGCTATTGGATAATGGTTTCATTATACTGAGTTATTCCCTGTGGGGAGCACCGGTTCTATTTGTGAAAAAGAAGGATGGGACCCTTCGAAAGTGTATT